ATCACTGTGATACATTTGAAAACTTTTACAACCCTATTTTATCAAATGCTCTGTTTTTGTCCACGGATGTAATTTCACCCTGAAACAGTATCTGTTCTTTCCCAGGTTTGTTTGTACTAAGTCTATTTGATCCCCACTTCTCAAACAATTTACATGAATTGTTTCCTGAACTATACACATCTGTTCCTGTCTATATTCCTGCATTCATTTACCTACACATTCATTTACATACTTGTATCATTCTATATATGCCCCAGTGTGTCAAAGCTGCATATATATTTTTAAGCCATTATAGGCTATCAATATGTCTTATTATAAAGTGCATTGAGCATTGTTAACCATTGTTTTAATGTATACCTGCATGTGTTTTTACGGTCCTGTACAGCCAAGGAAAATTTCCCTCTGGGATAATAAAGTACTATCTTATTATTCTTATCTTATCTTATCTTAAGTATGGAAATGCGCTATAGAAATGCCATGTTTTATTATAAACATTATCATTAAGGATATGAAAGAGACAGTATTTTTGAAAAATAGCAAAGAATTAATTTAAAAAAACATTTAATTCTGATTAAAAGCTGGGAAAGCATGGACTTTTTTTGCTAGTTCCTCGTAGTCAACTTCTTCCTCTGTTGTCTTCTATTTTCCAGTGAGAGGGAGACGTTCTGGCTTATATGTCTATATTCAAGTATCCCAGAAACTGCATTTGTACCTTCCTAATTGGTGTACTTCTCTTAAAGACAAAATAGTAGCCGGCGATTGGTGGGTGCTCTGGTGTCGTTTGCTCCTTCTTTCCTATCAAATATCTATCGTCCTTCTATCTCTCTTTCTTTTTTGTGTTTGTTACTCGCTTGTAACACTCTAATCTTCGGCACTCGTATGATCTAATTGAATTGTAAATGCTGCAAAACTCTTTCTAAAGCAAAAACAAAATAGTAGAGCTACCATCCTGAAAAGTAAGTACAGACATTCCAAAGATATAGTTGGTCTTCTGGGAATAAATTCCACTGTCTGGAAAGCTAATCACAAATTTATTAAGAAATGAGGAATGTGTTCTTAGGTGGCCTCCTAGGTTTAGTTAGTTTTAGTAAGAGTTTTACGGCACTTGCAACACAATAAAAAGGTCATATAAGTGCCGAAAGATTAGAGGTGTTACAAGAGAGTAACAAACAGAAAAAAGAAGAAGGGGAGACAAAGACGACAGATGTTTGATAGGAAAGAAGAAGCAAACCACACCAGAGCACCCGCCAACCACCCACTTCCCGGGTCTGATAGAAAGGTTATGATGAAAGTACACTGCTTGACTGACCGAACCACCAGCTGGATTGATAACAGCAAAAACAAAAGAACCACCACAGCAAAACAGCAATAAGACAAGATTCCCATCAAAGTAAAAAAAGGAGGGCAAGACCAAGAGCACCCTCCAATCACTCCGACGATGAAAAAAAGAAAAAGCAGAGTACAGTAACCACACCAAGCTACAACAAGACTCACTGAAATCGTTGGCAATATCCACAGTGGGGGAGGGCATCGTCGCGTTCTGCAGCAGGTAGTCGCTCTGGTCAAACTGACCCAGGCCGTCGTACTCGGAGGGCACCGACGACACGTTCATCTGGTCCTGCAGGGGAGACGACGCCGCCACCATGGTGGCCATGTTGTTGTTGCTGCTGGCGGCACCGCCCATCAGGCCATCTGTCGTGCCGTTCCCGCTGGAGCTGTTGGCGGCCGCCATGTTGAGGTAGGTGACCAGGCCACTCCAGCTCTCCTCCAGGCTGTCCTGGTGCTCCAGGAAGTTCTGGGAGGACTCGGGCTGGGGCACCATCTGTGGCACCGACTGGAGCTGACGGGAGGGAGATCAGACACGTCGTGTCAGTACAACTTGTCATGAGGGGACAGCCGTACTTTATTAACCCTATCCGTACGCCCTGGGGTCATTTTGTACCCCTGGGGTTGTATTCTTCACATTTTCTAGATACAATGTGTCTCTATACAACTTGTCATGAGAGGATCGTCGTACTTAATTTTTCTTTATTAACCCTATCCGTACGCCCAGGGGTCATTTTGTACTCCCCTCCCCCCC